CGACCTTCATCACCACCCCAAGTTCTCAGCCTCAGAGTCACATAGTGGCACTAACTTCGGATCGCAATGCCCCTTCTTCTGCCTCCCAAAGCAACAGTCTCTCCTTAAGCCTACCTGAGCCTGAGCCGGAGCCCCACGGCAAAAACGAAGTGTCGGCTGAATTCTTTTGTTTCTTTTCTTGCCTCGTCTGTGCTTTCAGTAGAAATGCCTCTGAAAGGACAGGTCGGCCCATGCACCGTTTTTCCTTCGCTGGGCTTGGTCTGTCTATCCAAAAACTGGCTGTATGGGCTCCATTCTTCGTCCAATCGCACCAAAATAGACTCCTCTTCTGTGAGCCCTCGCCGACGATGTTTCGCCTTGTTTGACTAGACAAGCGGATGGCAAGAAGATACAGGGTCGGCAGCAAAAAGCATGTGACATGCTAAAAAGCAAGGCACTAATCTTAGCGCCTTACCATGCTGATGCAGGGCGATCATTGCGAATGCAAAACAACTAAAGACCTTTAATTGAGAATTATTGAGAGCTGTTCGGAGTAGACTTCTTCCTCCAGCAGTAAAAAAATTGTCCGTGCTGATGTCTCTCCATGCAACGCAAAAGTCCTCTACTCCCCACGATTTCATCCTCTAATGGCGAATCTAAAGAAGGGGGTGAAACCAAGACTACAGCCTCAGCTATAGCCAAATGCCAGCGGTGATGCAATAGTGCAGCAGAGTAGCAAGTGCGAGAAGAAGAAAGAACACATGCTACTTGTGATCGTCTAGGACCCGTGTCAGTGCAATCTTGGTCCTGTCGCTGATTTGGGTGGAGTTGAGGAGTGGCAATCTTGACCAGGCAGTCGTTTTCGGTCAGACTGATAGAGCAACAAAGGCATCATGCTGAGGATTCTCAGCTGTCCAACTGGCACGTACAGTCAAAAGAGTACATCTATTGTACACCCTGAGCATGGACCCACAGACTGTTGCAGGGCCATAGTCAGATTGAAACGGGCTGAGCCACCACAGCCCCAGCACCTGTTTTGCATTAGCCATGGGAGTTTGACTTCAGGAAAACAAATATCTCAAGAAGGACGAGCCAAAAAGCAACTGATAGTAATTGGTCAACATCACAAGATATTGGAACCATCACAATTTGACTTGTCAAGTCGGGCGAACAAGATCAGACACGTGTGCTCCAGCGTGTGTCCAGCCTCAGTTCGAATTCTACTTTTCAGAGTGTGACGGCTGTGGCAAGAAACCCTGTTTGCAACTTGCTACGGGTCGTTGCACCTGTTGAGCAAAAGTCTCCCTAAATTCTGGGAACCAAATCATTAGTGCGAGCGCTTCTTCAAGAAGCTCCCCCACGCCCTCAGGATCCCTCAGGCGGGGAGCTTCCTTGAAGCGTGAGCTGTCCTGTGTCCTAGCTAGGAGTGAACTTCTCCCTTACTTCATTACACTAAGTAGGCGCCTACTTAAGTGAGTGAGGCAGGGCCACGGGCTAAAGAAACAAAAGGATCTCATCGGGCTGAGAATTTCGGGACTTCGTGGGATCGCTCTTGGCACTCCCTCCTCGAGGCTCCCACCAATTTGCTTCCGCCTCGTCGACTCACAAAACATTCCAAAAGATCAACTCCTAAATGCTGGAGAGTCTCCAACAAAAGCTACTAAGGGCTCCTGGCCTTACTAGGAGCAAGGACGCTACTAGGGGCTCCTGGCCTTACTAGGAACAAGGACACTACTAGGAACTTTTTGTGTGAGATGTTCTGAGCAAATTCTGCAGATGTTACTCGGATACTTCGGTCCGTTCCATCGATTTTTGCCCTGAGCGCAGCCGAGCGCAATCCGACACGACCTAGACACTGGCCAAGAACCAGGTCAGAGAATGCCAAAAGTACAAGATGGTGTGTCCCTCTCTGAATTCTGGTTTGTCAGTGCTGCGTGGTACAAGTAATTGAGGCAAACTCACACCTGAACGCTGCCATCAGCACCAGCTCAAGTTCTTGACAACTGACTTGGTGATTTGCTTCTGAGTCGCTTTCAGGCAAGAGGAAGCAGACTGCAGCAGACTGTAGCAGACTTACACTTGAACTTGCCATTCATGTTGTGCTGGTGAGAAAGTGCAACAGGGCCATCAAATTCATCTCTGTCCAAAGCCTGTACAAGTTTCTGCACCCAACTGTCTGGGTGGTTCGATGCAATCAATTTATGTCAATGTCCACTCCAAGCAATATCAATCTTAGAAGACTTCCTTTCTCCAGGGTCTTGTAGCATGCAACAACAAAAGGGTATTCTATGGCATTTGACTAGTGGCAAAACTCATGATGACAAACAATGGCTTTATGATGTATATAAGTGGTGTTCCTTCCGAAACATTGAGCCAACAACCAGGAAAGGGCAGGAGAATTGAGCAACTCGACTGTGCGGTGCTCTTGACAAAAATCCTGTCTAAACATCGCCTGTGAACAAAAACCAGCTTCACCAATCAGTGCCAGCCTTTTGCTGATGATCTGGGAAGCACATCTCATCCATTTCATTTGGGTCAAGAATCCGATTGGGTGTTCCAGAGCTCGCTGCTCATGCCCATCTCTGCATGGCCGCCTGGCCGATCAGGGAGAGATCGAGGGCTGATGATGCAATGGCCTCCAACCTACTAGCGATGGCACGAACGGAGCAAACTTCACCCATCTATTCCAATCCAAGGCACGTCAAAAGAGTCAGAATCACTCTCCGAGTCGGCCTCAGGTCGGACGCACATGGTCACATGTGCTTCTTCCTGTCACACCGGTCTAATTAAACGTGTTTGGTGGAGCCTCACAGTGTCAGAACGGTGACTGTGCACGGCTCAGTGGGAGATAAAAGGCTGCGACATAGACGTTCCCAGCATAGTCCTGCGGAAGGGCTTGCTGGCTCAAAGACTCAAATGTCCGATAATCCAATTCTTGTGAAATGGAAGTGGCTGAAAAAGCTCCACCAATGACAGTAAACAAGCAAAGGAATCATGCACATCCCAAACTATCAGGAGGATGTCAAGTGCCTCCACCGTATGTGCCAGCACTAGCGTATCTCCATCACCGACACCAGCATGGTATAATGAAAGGTGGTGCCTCTGGCATCATGTCGATTGATTCAACGTTGACTTGTCAAGAGCGACTTCTCACCTATCTGACGGTCGCTCAATGAGATTTTGAGATCCCCGCGGCAGAGAACGTCCAGCGAAGCTCAAGAAGGCTGACCTTGAAGCACACCACATCCATATCTCATCTCGCTGAGTTTGCTACTGGGCGAAAGACTCGACACCGATGCCATCCAACAAGGCCACCTGCACTGATGATGCAAGATTGAGAGGGAGGAAGACTTGAAGCAAATGAAAAGGTGATCCTGACCGAGCACATCCGAGCACTAGCAGGAAACCAATGAACGACTCGACGGTGCCTCAGCCGCCATTTGCGCTTCAAGGATTGGCGTCAAGGCTCCCAGCCTTCAGACCAAGTTCTGAATTGAAATCCTAAGACTAGTCTAAAGAAAGGTCTATAGTCTAGTAGCTTGAATTAGCGATGGCCTCCAACCTAGTAGCTTGCATAGATATATAGCTTTTTGAACATGATAGAACCCAGGAACCCGAATGTTCCTCATATTCAAACAGAGTCAGAGTATTCTGAGATATTGAACGGGCGTTTTATCCCGTCGCCATTGTTTGGGATTGTTTTGGGCCAATGAAAGAGGCCCAAGCACCATCCTTTTTGATCCTTCTCTTGGACCTCAAAATCCTATTGGATGTGTGCCTTTTTCATGGCCTACGTCACCCTTCATTGGATGTCACGAGATGTCAGAGAGGAAGTTGCTTTGGGCCTATTTGCCACGGTCTGGAAAGGAAGGGCTCCGGAAATTCTGTAGATTCACATTTGATTGGATTTTGTCTGAGGCCGGCGTGCTTGCCTGAGTCTTACCCGCTTTCCGGCTGCACGGCCACCAGCATCCTCCAGTGGAGCCATTCTTCAGTGAACATTCCGAGTGTGGTTCGACTTGTTTGTTCATATCACTCTCTGGCCACTGTGTTTCAGAGCAAAGTGGTGTAGCAAAAGGTCCTCCGGACGGATGACGTGCAGGTCATATTCGGCATCTTGCAATCTAGCCTGCCACATCGAGCTCAGCTACATGAGTAAAATGTGATCACCAATGGTTAAGCCAGAAATTCACTCATCAGTTCTGTTTTGTCTGGTCAACATGGCCCCAAATCCATCCAAAGTCCCAAAATGATTCTTCTGGCCAGAAACTTCCCGCCTCCACCGCTTGTCCATGCCGAGGAGCAGCTGGGTCACTCTCTGCAGGCAGCAAGTATAGGACAACAGCCTCCAGCGCCAAACGAGCCGAGCACTTTGACAGCCAGCGCTGGTCTGGCACAAACGATGGCCTGTGAACCCAGCACATCGATGATGGGGATGGAGTCATCCAAGCATTCATCCTGCAATGGATGACTGTGTCACCAAGAATGGCCTGGTCACAGTGTCTCAGCCCCGACCTCCAGATCGGGTGTGCACTGGAGCCGTTGAAGCTCCATCGGCACGCCAAAGAGCTGCCATATCCGTCGTTTGACCTGAACCACACAATTACCTCTCTCCGACTCTCACAGCCCACGGTGAGTACTCTTTAACACCACCCTAATTAGAAGAGCTAGGCTCGACATCACAAGCCAAAGGAGTCGACAAACATCACGAGCTATCACCTGTTTTGGTCTCCTCACCTCGCCGGTTGAGAGAGCGATGTGCCGGTGGGACCGCAAACGACCATTCTCTTTGCGCACTCCGTGCGGCAAAACGAGAAGCTCAGCCTGTACAATTGCAGTCCACCGGACCATTCTTGAAGCCTGCTGGCTTTCAACACAAACCATCAATAATTTTCATACACAAACCTCACATAACTGTTGGGAGCTACAAGTAGAAAGTCAGCAGTGTGGGGAGCGATCCACACTTCCCGCGAGGCAAAATTCAATGCTGAGCTTACCAGGCTCACCTTGGTCCTTTCATCTCACCATGACAAGTCTTGAGCAGAAACGCGGCCACCAACCTTCTTCTTGTATTCCTGGCCAGCCGCCTTAAAGGAAGCTCGGATCTGCTTCTCAAAGGCTTCCTCCATCTCTTCACTCGGAGGCACCTGGACAAAAACCTTACCATCTTCGACCTTTGTCTTGAAGGTGGAAAGATTGAAGTTGGGGTTACCAATACCTCGGCCAGTTCTGAGGTCATATGTTGTCTTGTAGATAGGATCGGCCAAAGTCAGGGTTCCGTTGGGCTGCTCTCCCACCAAGCCTCTGGAGATCGACCGTGCTTGCTTGTGCGGGCAAAGATTCTGTGCGGCCAGCCATTGATCCTCCTCCGCTTGTTTGGGGAGGTGGAAGACGGCCAGTTCCTGCGTACCATGCTTGACACTCAGCCCACCATTTGGTGGGTATGCACTCGTAAGGCCGGCGAAAATCCACTCCCAGCTCTCTTTCGCATCCTCCTTGGTGTAGAGTGCTGCACCGGTGATGTCAGGCGGGCTGTAAAGGTTGGGATGACGCTGGCCACGCATATCGATATATTCAATCTGCTCCGAGTCATGGGTCTCATCCGTGTTCGCAAACTGCTTGAACTTCTTGCGAAGCTCCTCGTCATAAGCGACTTCCTTCCACTCGCACTTCTCGTTGCTGCGATTGTTCTCCATCATCTTTTCCAAATCATCAGCAATGCCCAAAGAGTCCTCAATCACCACCTTCTTGAGGTACTCAATGCCACCTTCCAGCTCAGCTAGCCAAGGGGCTGTGCGCTGCAGGTGCTTGGCTGTTGAGATGTAGAACATCAAAAATCGGTCTGTGTACTTCAACACTTGTTCCACAGAGCAGTCGGTGGCCAACAGCTTTGCATGCACGGGTTTAGCACCGCCGTTGCCACAAACATAAAGGTTGTAGCCGGCCTGGGTAGCGATAACTCCAACATCTTTGCCCTGGGCTTCAGCACACTCTCGCAAACACCCAGAAGCCGCCATCTTGATCTTGTGAGGAGCCCGCAAGCCTTTGTAGCGGTTCTCCATGGTAACAGCCATCGTCACAGAATCCTGCTGTCCATAGCGGCACCAGCTGGTTCCCACACAACTCTTCACCGTCCGCAACGCCTTGCCGTAGGCCTGTCCTATTCACATGGCGGCATCATCCCTTTAAATTAGGTCTCAGACTTCGCAAATGGTCTCAGTCACACTCGCAAGACACGAGAATTTAAATACGGTCAAAGTTTCCTCTCTGGATCTCTCTAGAGTCTAAGTGTATTCACTTCCGATTTGGGGCGTCCTCTATATATATATATATACACACATCTTTCCGATTGGGAGCACGACGAAAGGGGGTCTCATTCAGGATCGCCTTTAGGCGTCCCTCAGTGTGTTTCACATGAAAAATGCCAATGGGCATATCAATCAAATGTTCTTTCGAAAAGCAAATGCGGAAGATATTGTATGATTCTCAATGTTGCTCATATTGCATTGCACAGGGTGCGAGCATCCAAGAACTGGCTCAATCGCAAAAACGTCTATGTTCACTCAAGCATCTCGACAAACCTATGTTTAGTAAAAGTCACAGCACAGACTAGAATCAGAAGACTAATAGCTCACACAGGCTAACTGCAGTACAAATTCAAACGAATAAATCTAGCTGTAGCTGGCTAGTACAGTACCATGTTTCGTTTTGGAAGCAGTCCTGTCTCCATGCCAGCATCCACCAACTCCTTAAAGATGTCAGGCAAATCATGGATCTTGGCACCATACATGCCCAAGCGTTGAGCACCCGTGATCTTGGTCCAGAGACCATATTTCTTCGCAGTCTGAGCAAAGGCGATGAGCGTGTCAGGTGTGATGTCACCTCCTGGGCATCGGGGAATCACCGAATAGGTGCCGGTCTTTTGGATGTTCGCCAGGAACCGGTCATTGGTGTCCTGGTGGCAAATCTTCCAATGCCACACAACAGGATGAGACATGGCTCATCTCAGTTCATGATACTTTAATATGTATTTGTTCTTCTGTTTCTTCTTTTCTGTATATGTAATTATTTGCTTTTGTAGTTATTTTTACAGTATGTGTTTCATGATACTGTATGGTATTGTTTGCCCACTTTATGCCAACTTTATGCCTTTTATGGATGGACCTTGGAATTTCAGGAGCCATTCTGGAAGTCCAAGACCTAAGGCCTTTAATAAAGCTAAGGTCAGCGGGCATGGCCCTGGTAGGCCTGCACGTGCGCAGTCCTGTCCTGAATCTGATCTCGACCTGCCTTCAGCGCATGATCGTTCCAAAGGCCCGACAAGATGGAAGCAACAATGGGTTTGCAGAGCTCACATCCATCTGTGGCACCCTGACCTACAGATGACAGGACCTCTGTGAAAGATTTCAGCTCCTTGATCTTGATGATATCAAACAGCTCCCGCCTAACAAGCATGGACCAAGAAGAACTGAATAACTCTCATACACAGAACTCACAGAACTTTTGTCAACAAGCGCTCATGTTGCGTGTCGTTCCAATTTATACGTAACAGCTAGATGTCTTCTAAGTGTTCCGAACCGTTTCCAGCTCCTGCCTGGAGTAGTTGAAATGCGGACAAATGCCAGAGGCAGTTGCTTTGCCCAGTTTCTTCAGTGTGTGGGCCAAAAGCTTTGGCACCTCTCCAACTGGTGTCACACAACCACCACAGCCAGTGCCAGCTTTGCAAGCTTTTTTGATCTGTGGAATTGTGTAGGCTTCTTTCTCGATGATGGCCTGGTGAGGATTCTGTTCTACCAACCTACAGTGCACAAAAATAACTGAATGACTCGAAACTAGAGTAACTAGAAGCTTTAGATGTCTTTCGGAGCAGGAACAATGAATATGTATATACACCTATATATACACATATAAAGACACAGGATGACAAAGGCATCAGCATAGCCAAGTAGCTTGGCGGACTTGGCTCTTTGTGAGGCCGATGCACGTACAAATCGTGTCATCGTCTGCGAGCCCAGTGCCATCGCCGCCGTCGATGGGTGCTCCGGTGGAAGCACCTGGTGGAGGGCGCTTGAAGGCCAAGCCAGCAGGTTCATTGCCTGCAAGGTCCTCTTTCTTGCTGAGCTGAAGTAGCTTGGAATAATCCTTGGCATCTCCGACCAGAACGCCACCCATGAGTTTCGAGCCATCTGCCGAGAAGCAAAGGCGCCGGTAGGTGTCATTGATCTCATCCTTAGAGTCAATGAACTTCACGCTTGGATCCTTTCCATCAAACTGCCGCTTGAACCAAAAGTCGGCACTCCGACCAAAGGAAGCCACCTCGACACCCAAGAGCTTTAACTTTGTGCTCAAGTCAGAGGCCACATATTCGGAGGAACCTGGCTGCTGCAGATTCTGCACCAAGGTCTCAGCTTGCTCCACCCCAGGCGCCCACAAGCCGTAGCACATCTGTCCACCGATTGCTGCAACCTCGCCGATGGCATAGATGTGCTCATCGGAGGACTGCAAGGACTCGTTCACTTTCACACCACCCCGGGTGCCCATCTCCAAGCCACACTGACGAGCAAGCTCATCGCGAGGGCGAACACCGCAAGAAACGATGATCAGGTCGGTGTCCAAGACAGTTGGAGTGTCTTCTCCCTTTTCCAGAAGCTCGATGCCAGTGACCTTATCATCCTCCAAGACCACTCGCTTGATTTGGACACCACAATGAACACGCACTCCCAAGTCATTGATCTTCTTGCCTAGAACTTGCCCAGCTGCTTCATTGAGCTGTGTTGGCATCAAGTATGGTGCCATCTCCAATACATGGCTTTCCATTTTCAGGTCATAGACAGCCTTGGCAGCCTCAAGTCCAAGTAACCCTCCACCAATCACCACTGCACGTGTTGCACCCGACTTCGACTTGGCCAGCAATGATTCCAGGTCCTCAATGGTACGGTAGACAAACACACCCTCAGGCCTGGAAGCTGGATCGTCCGGCCAATTCACATTCTTCTTTTCCGGGATGGTCATGCCAGGCACCGGAGGAACAAAGCAGAAAGAACCCGTGGCCAAGATGAGGACATCATAAGCAATCGATTCATTCCCAGAGTCAAAGGTGTAGGACACCTTTTTCGCTTCTCTGTCAATGGACATTGCTCGTCCATAGATGAGGTTCACATTGAGTTCCTTCAACTCCTGCTCAGTGACGTAGGACAACTTCATCTTGTCATGCTTCTCAGCATCTCGGTCCTCAAAATATTGCGTGAGCATCACTCGATTGTAGGCAGGTCGTGGTTCTTCACAAAGGACTGAAAGTTGGTAGTTAGCAGCAACTTCACTCGTGGTTATCTTCTCAATAAAAGAGTGGCCGATGGGTCCATGACCGATCACGAGGATCGCTTTAGTCATGGCTGTGCTGCTGTACGAGCGGCCGAAGAGTAAGAGTTTCTTGCAAAAGAAACGTGGAAGATCTTTGAAGTCAAAGGGCCACGGAAGAGAAATGGCATCAACGAGCTCAATGATGCGTCGCATTTGCTGGATATCCGCGTTCATCGTCTGAGGTCATGGACTCATGGCAACTAGTAACCAAATGTAACCCAGTGACTGTGTGTCAAGGGGCCTCCAGCGCTGTAGCACTTTCTGGAACTTCTACTTGCCATTGGTCCTCTGAACCCCATGCCCTTGTGCGAATGACGGTGAGTACCTCTCAGATTGCGCTCTGTTCGATCAAGGTAAGACTAACGTAAGAGGAACTGCTTCTGAAAAGATTCAATGCCCGAGCTGGCTTTCATGGCGCACTGTGGTGTGTGATGAGCTGCAGTAGTCTGCCCCAGATCCCTGAGAAACAAGAATAGAAAACCGAAACCAATGAAAACAGTTTGTCTCCATGCAAAGCACCAATTTCAGTCCATGCATCTGTCCATCTCAGTCTCAGGCCGAGCATGTAGAGATCTCCCCAAGGTCCAAGCCAGCTCCTGGCCGATCCTGCATGCTCCAAAACGAACCGCACGCACCGAAGCGCGACGCTCAAGCGGGACACAAAAAACGCGTGCGGCGCGACTCCTCTGCATCGCGCCTGCAGTTTAGTAAGTCAACGTTTGTTCAAAATGGATGATTGGGAGGGTGGACATGGACAGTGGACACATGTGTTAATGGAAAGTCCAAACGAAGGTTGAGCATACTCAACCTGTCGCACCTGCGTATGCGCTGTGCAGCTTTGGGGCCGAGACCACGGATCAATGCAGCCTTGCAGGACATCCTCTTCCATCTTCTTGCCAGAGAATCAACAAGTATTCTGCCAACGAACAAAAAATAGCTTGATGCAGCTTTTAGTCATACATCACTGCACACGCCTCATGTCTTTCCTCTGCTTTCTGCGCCAGGATCCGCCTGCGCTCATCTCGCCTTGGCTGTGGTGCCCATGATTGGTAACAAAACTGTCCGTCAGGATCAGCTATTGACTACGACTGGGGTGAGAGCTGTTCCATGGGCACCTCACAAAGAGACCAACATTTCGTGGTAACACGGGCATTACTAGTGACAAGAAGCTACTAGTCACAAGGGCATCGCTACTAATTAGTAGCAAGAAGCTACTAGTAGCAAAATAGTTCTGCGGAGACAGTTCGAGTTCATCCTAAACAGCCTAGCCTCACACAGTGTCGCATATGGGATGATTGAAAATCTATGCTATGGCATGCTATGGCCATGTCCCCAGCCTCAGCCGAACGTCCAAAGAGTTGAGGGAGCATTTTGCTCAAAGGCACAAATGGGCCAAAGGCTTTGGCCACCTCAGGGCCCTTTATTTGGATTGCAGTGGGCACCGGAAAAATCCTAGTTCTTGTGTTGATGACTGGTTATTTCGCATGTCGTTTGGAAGGGTCTTTGGCTTTTTTTCGAAGTGCCCAACTTGACACATTGTGATCCGACTTTCTTGGACTGCTGGACCTGCTTCAGTTCGAGCCAAAAGAAGGGTCAAGGTCAGACTGAAAAAGGAATCCGAGGTGAAGACCACTGTAGACTGGTAAGTTGCATCGATGATTGGTCAACGAGAAGTTCTACTCCTAATCAACTCCCCATCCAAGTCGTCACAAAAATCTAGCGTCAAAGCATGTCGTGATATCACACCAATGCCGACATCATTGCTTGCATGATATCGCCCAGCACCTGCACCTCGTTTTGGGCAGGCCTTGGTTGCATGAAGGCGATTGACCATTGGCAATGCTTCAAAACCGCTCCCAAAAGCTTCACTGGCGACATGTACAAATTGTAAGCCAACAATCTTTTTGTCAGGTAGTAGGCTCAGTAGGCAAACAAGGGAAAAAAAATCGTTCAAACGATAAGTGCAAGAATCAACCTTCTAGCTTGCATCACTGACCTTGCTTCTCGGTCACTACGCTATGCATCTGACAGTGGCAGTGGCACAGCCTCCACGGCTCCCAGACGTAGGCCTGTCCCTGCACGGGTTGGGGCCGTTTCAGGCCAGTTGACATCAGTTGACCTATGAGCACATGGCTTTCAGAAGAACACCCATCTTACTACATCTTACATCATCTTACCATCCTCAGACAGATGGGGCAATTTCAAGCAGAGCCAGGAGATCGTCTCCTCAGACACACCCGCGCTGATCGGGGCTTCAGCCGCCAGGCCTCTCTCTGCGTCTGACCTGCAACGAAGACTCAATCTGTGGAATCAACATGTCGAGCAATACAGAAACCAAGGACTGCCCGGTCAATGAAACGTCGTGAACCCTGCCTAGCTGGGGCCGAAACCGGATCCATTCCATCCTCAGCCACAGGTGGCTTCGACAAAATGAACATGCCAACAGCCTACCACCGCGCCAGTCTCACGATATGTTTCAAAATAGAAAAGTATCTGATGGCGTGAGGAAATGCCACCCACTCATTGCACGTTCTTCTGCTTTGAATCCAAGCTTCCACCGGGCTGTCTGGAGGTGTCCGCAAGGCCTCGTCGGGATTTGGGAAGATTGGGTGAAGGATTGCTGACATCAAATGTCACTGACGGTCGCATGCGACTGAATGTCAGTGGATGGGAAGGAAATAATATCCTTTGCATCTGTTCATGTTCCTGCCCTCTGTTGGCTAAAAGCACGCTGGCAATGATTGTGCAAAGGGAACTCAAATATGAGAAGCACCGCAAGACGCCACAAAATCAGATCAATGCATGCAAGCCAGTCTCTACAAAGGTTTGCAAGTAAGAATCTACCAGAATCCAAGCAGGAACAGGCCTCATGCTTCAAAAAGTCAAAGACACTGAAGTCAAATTGAAAGACCTGCAAAGGTATGAAACCACATGAAAGCACCAGCAAAATCGCTCTTGGAAAGGCCGACGATGTGTGGTCCAAAAGATCTGAAGCTTTAAGAATAAAAGCAAAAAAATACAAGCTAATAGCGATGGCCTCCAACCTAATAGGAATGGCCTCCAACCTACTAGCGATGGCCTCCAACCAATACATGAGAAGCCGCATGTTCAGTTTTTCATAGTTTCTCACCTCTGCCCAGCCTTTGCATTCGGGTCACTGAAAATCTCTATGGGATGATTCTGCACTTCAGCAATGTCCTGCATGAAAGTCTTGCTGTTGAAAAGAATCAGAACAAAACAAAATCCAAAACTGATTCTGACAACCTTGGTCAGCTGCATTTGTGACGGCCACAACAAGGGTCTTTCCTATTTGGGTGCCTGTCATCCTCCAACTGGCTGAAAACAACACATGAACACAGGAGACATGAGGAGCCTCCTCCTTCGGAATTGGACCTAAGCGGGTCATAGGCACTCCAGAAGCTTTGAAGGCCGAAAGGGTTCACAAGGTTCACAAGGTGTGCAAAGATGCAAGAAGTTCATGAGGCCAGCACGCATGGGCTCGGCAGGTTGCGTCTCAACATCAAGTGGCACAAGTGCTGCATTGCCTCCACAGTACAAGGTACGAGGTCTAAATCAAGTGATGCATGCCGATGTAGGCCTGCCTGCGCCAAAACCAAAAGCCTGCGACAGGACACATTGGACATACTTGGACCTTGAAGTGCTTCACCTCACTGTTTCCAAAGAACATTCTAAGGTCTGCAGTCTGCACAGTGAAAAAGACACCCCCTAACTGTCTCAACTCTGCTTATCGGTCTTAGGCTTAGGATGGTCGGGTCCTCAGACTGGATCCCTTACGAGCGATGGCCTCCACCCTACGAGCGATGGCCTCCAACCTACTTGACCTTGGGCGTCTTTGCTTCCACTTCACCTTTAACCAGTAACGGCGCCTTGGAGGAGCTCGGCTCGGGCGTATCCGTCCATGGCACTTCAGGAGCGCTCGCCTGGGCAGGGTCCAACCGGGTCAAGCCGGGTCACCTGCGGCTCGGAGATCTTGGAGACGGGCACATTCGCATACTGAGGCTCCAGGCATACTGTGAAATCTCAAAGGTTTCGAGTGCCTGCAAAGGTGAGATGACCCAGTGATGATGATCTTTCACCGATCTTTCAAGGTGAAAAGATCTTAGTAGCTTCAAAGACCTAGTAGTCTACAGGTGAAACGATTCCCAGTGAAACGATTCCCAAGGAAGCTTCTAGCTACTAGTAGCTTCCTGTTACTAGGAACAAAAAAGTCATCCAAAATGGGAAGTCTGAAACTTCAGCTTTGCTTCTGGCTTGGGGCCGCAAGGCCGCGCTGGGCGCAAGGCCTTGGGGGCGAAGTCCTCACCTTGGAAGGCTCACTGGTTCTTTGAGTGAAAGATCCAGACACATGTGAGGGAGACTTTCAGTATTCACAGGCTAAAAGGATCTGGATGATATGTGCGATGCGTTTAGATATTCCTCGAAAGGAAGAAGTCTCCAAAGCATTCAAAGATTTCGCAAAAAAAAATGGCTGCTGCATTCCCCTTTGCAATGGGTTTGAACAAGGAAGCCACCTGAGGCAAGAACTGGAGGCCTTCTCCACCGAACTGGGGGCCTTTTCCGCTGAAACATCTCCAAGACCAATCGCTCCTGGCCAAACGGCAGGAAAGTCAATTGAAGGAAATGTCACGGGGTGCAGGGTCCAGCAAAAAGAAACTGACATAGGAGCAAGGACGCTACTAGGAACAAAGGGCATCGCTGGGAACGGAGCGATCGTACGCTACTAACTAGGGGCGCTCTTGGCCTTTACTACTAGGAAGAAGAACGCTACTAGGACTCGTTTTTGAAAATAACATACCCACCTGAACTGAAGACTAGGTAGTAGACTACGTATAAACTATAAGAAATAACATACTCACCTGTTATGAACTTGCTGTCCTTGTGACAAGTTCACTTGCAAGCCGTTGTCGGTGATGGATCGAGACCTCGGTGGCCAGGAGCCCCGTTCGTAGCGACCTTGTTCCTATGATGTCTGAGATCGTCTGATATGATGATAGCGGCATGGCATGATTCTCCTCAAATTTCACCAAGTGCAGCAGCCTGCGGCGCGCTCTCCCTTTCTGCGTTGAGCAATTCTCAGGGCTCGCCAATGCGCCGAATCTTGTTGGCAGGGCCCTCAGAGCAGAACAAATCTTGATGTATAGGAAAATGTTTCAGAGTGGATGTCGGCACATTGCAAGTCGTTCACACGCTGGTTGTTTCCTCTTCTCGCGACCTGTTGTAGTCCATGTTCACATACACAAAGAAAAGCTCTCGAGCATGTCGACTAGTTCTTTCTATCTGAGCTTAGGGAGCATTCAATATTGCCTAGTGAAGAGATCCCGGTGTGCCATAAGAAGTTTTTGGGAGTCATCCAGGATTTTGCTACAACGTGCTCAATTACTTTGCAACATCTTGAGTAGTTTGCTTTGAAATCTTGATTGAAAGAAAAGCACCCCTACCATCATTCAATTGTCAATGCACCTCAGGAGCACCGCTTGGCAAAGCAGGTCCTTCCACAGGAAGCAAGGACTTCGCAAGCTCTCTGGCCATATTGTCTGAGTGCCTTGCAAAACCGATCTCGAGCTTGGTCTATGGAGTCTATATGAGTCTATATATATATACATATAAATGAGTCTATATGAGTCTATGGCTTGTCAAATGGAAGCGAACATCAACGGCAGAGGCGCTCTTCGAAGGCCGGGGTGGCAAAGCGCTGGGAGAAGGCTTGGAAGCCCTGAGGATCCGTAGACAATGGTTTGGCCCAGCGAAACAGGAGCCGCCTCCCACCTTGGGTTAAACAGATCTTAATGGCCGAACACCATTCACAAGTGGCTCTGACATACCTCAGCTGCCAACTATTTTGTGCACGACCCTGGAGCAAGGAGGCAGCACCCAAAGCAGCTTCGGCCTTGCAGCATGGTATCAGCATGCTATCATTCCTGCAAGCAGAGGATAGTTCCGACCCCGCCTCAATAAATCCGACCCTCGCAAAGCCTGGAGAGAAGAATCAAAAGAACATACTTGCATTGCCGCATTGCGCATCATCTGGACCCGAAAACATTAACCTAGATTTGTGAGAAAGGACATCGACCGAGACTTGCCTTTTGCATCTCAAATGCACTCATTCTTCAGAACAATAAGAATTTCTGCGTGCACCTCCCCGGATGCCCACATCTACGAAGTCCAATTCCCCAAAGACACCTCACCAAACAGGTTGATGATGGTTGATGAGAATCGGCCAATCTCAGAGATTTGCAAGTGACATCTACTACAGGAGCGAAGCGCGTTGGGTGAGGAGGACTCCCTCACCCAACCTGCTGCGTTTGTTATCTGCCGCCCTTGCCAAGGCACCTCCGTCCCTTCTCCTGCCCTTCCGGAAGGGCCCCCAGCTGAATTATGTGGTTCATCCAAGACACCTAGCAATCTCCGCAACCAATCCTCACGTGTGCCAACCTCCAGGTTGCTGATGAAAAGCCTCACAGGAGGAAAAAGAGGCTGCAGGCTGCAGCAGCTCTGAAAGCTTGTGTATTCAATTCTTAGGGAAGGGAGTAAATTAACATTATGTTCATTAACCATCGCAATGAAAACCTGCGTGTTCCTTTTCCAGGGTAGCTTACTTGTTACAGTGTGTTGCCAAGACTAGCAACGCTCTGTCACCGGTGGTGGAGTCAGCTGGAAGGCATTGGCGAACTGTGACAGCGCGCCCAGCCAATTGAAACCTCAGTGTCAATTTTTACATTGATAAGCTACGCAGTATTGTAACTCTTGTTTCAAGTATGTTCGCTACATTCATAATGTGGTATAGGGAACCTCTAGGTTGACATGTTGTCAGCTTGCTCCACTTCTCCGCCCAGAGACCCATGGGCTTTTGCCACGAGTGGCTCGGCGGCCTCCTCATCCGAGAGTCTTAGAAAGCCAAAGCCGCGACTCCTCGCGCCATTGGACACGACGCTCCGCCACAATGCTGCAACATCGAATGGAGCTCGGCCAAAATTCGCCCGCGTTGCGGGGGGGAGTGATGTTCTTGTTTGACAGACCCACATTTGAGCTTTCTGGTGAACCCTTTGCACCCAGGCAAACACAAAACAAAACACACTTGGGTTGTAACAAGGATTTGCTGTCACTGTGCCAGCTCCTCACGGTGCCTTGTGCACGGGCAGCATATGGGAGAAGTTGTGTGGGACGCGGCTGTGTGTTTCATACAGTGCTGCCAAGTTTGGATTCCTTTCTCTGCTTCATCCTTGCATGATCTTCAGGATTCTGCAAGTCCAAACGGATGCCCAACTGCCGAAGGTTCTGCGGCTCCTTCCACTTTGGTCCACTGGAACCTCAGTGCTCAGTGCTCAGACGTGCCGTGCAGGAAGTGCCGAATAAGGACAGAGCTCTGGCACCCACCACATTCTCTGACAAAGACCTGGAGGTTTTCAAGTGTTTTCTTTTTTTCTGCACCAGTTCGATTCATGCATTTCAGAATATGTCAAGAGTGAAAAACCATGGGACTGGAAAATCTCCAAGAAACTCATGGGTCTCAAGGATTAGCTAAACTAAAAGCTCTCAAGTTTGATGCCTAGGATACTGGCAACACGGTCAGATTGGAAGAACTCTTGCAAGGAGCAAGCATTCAACAAACTGGCCTGAAGGTTGTGTACAACTCCGCATCTGAGACATGAGGTGCAAGGTTGCCCACACACACTTGATAGCTGGCCAGCGGTTTTCGGCCTGCACTTGCGCAGCTTTGGATGAGACTCAGCAGTTCTGACCTGGTGTGCTTCATGGTCTTCATGTCCTTGAAGTACCTTTTAGCCTTTAGCCATCTTTTGCTGTTGGTCATAGCATCACTTCAAAACTCCCAGACCATCCTGACGACACCTTCTGGCAAGGTGCCAAGCGGAGCACGGCCTGCGGCAAGGTTTCACCCTCAGTGGCTCCAACCAGTTTTCACCTCCATCCATCATGTTGTCCTTTCGTTGTTCCCTTTTTCAGATGTCAAGCGAGTCATGTGTCAAAGTGGAAGGCAAAGACCTCCGGATGTATCAGGTTGGGAGGCCAAATCGCCCTTAGCTTGGAGGCCAGCGCTCTGAGCTTGGAGGCCTTCGCTGTTACGTATTGTTTGTCGTTTGAGTTCGGTTTTTCTCGTTGGTCTTGCCATCCTTGGCTTCCTCGTCCCACCTTGTGGTCCGGAATTCGCTGCCCGTTGCGGCGCATGGCTTGCTCTGCAGCTTCTGGGGAGGTAAAACCAAGGATCGCATATCCACCTGAAGAAACAAAGGCGCCAAACTCCCAGGTGTTCGAAGCAACAAAAAGAAACCAAATGCAACAAAGCTTGCCATGGCAGTCATGGGCACGTGGACTAATGCTCAAGCTTGCAAGAGCGCACCCTATCTGTTTCCCTGTGAAACTTCCCAAAGGGCCAGGAATCTTGTTCAAGTGAATGCTTAGAGGACTATTGGAATGCATCAGCTAGAGCCCCATTGTGTCCAAGCATCAGTTCTCTCCTGCAGATCTGCGTGGAAGCTGGAGTGAGCAAAGCTCTCTCCCAAACAGGGAGCGCAGCTCGGCCTCAGATCCGATCTGACAGTCCCAAATAGTGTCAACATGTGAATTTCTTGTTGCAAGCACAAAGGAGCAGAGACCATCACATGTCAAAACCAGGTGGGATCCGGCCTCATCGACCGTGGGCGGCAGATGAGTGGCTTTGAGAGATGTCACTTCCTGAGTTCCAGTTGTGTCCAGCATCAAGTGCTGTGTTCATGAGTGGCAAGTGGTGACAAGACACCATGGCGCCGCCTCGTCCACCTGGGCACAAAGATTCTCTACTTCAAGTTGCTCCAATGGAGCTGACGACTTAAGCTCCCAACCCTTTCAGCAGACGACTCTCTCCATAGCGCGCTACGGATCGGACCATTTGATATGCCCAGTGTGGCTGGATGAGATGGGTGTCAAAGGTTGCAGTCATTCTGACGGCTGATGGGTTGAGGGGCATGAGAAAGACGTTTAACCAAGAATAACAAAAAATCAGCTTCGCACCCAAAAATGCAGGGTTTGCTCTCGCCACAATAGATATGTGTCTCCAATATCAAGATATGTTGCGACGAGATGTTTGAACAGTCGTCCATGTTGCTTATGCTTGCAGTTCGATCCTTTTCAAATCAGGTAAGGCCAGGATTGCAATGTTCATCGCTCAACCAAGCCTTTCACCCATCGACACGCACTGGGCGCTGCAACTTGCGTGGCTTACGCCGCTTGTCTGTCGTTGAGGTCGACTTGAGAGCCTTAGAATCGTCATGGCCACGGTGATTCGGCTGTCCGATCGCTCCGTTCGTAGCCATGCCCGAAATGCTCTGTTCGTAGCGTCCTTGTTACTAGTAGTAAGGCCAGGGAGCCCCTAGCGCCCTTGCTCCTAAAAGCAAAAATCTCCATTCGGCCTCAGCCACTTGATTGGCAGCCTTGAGCTCGCTCATGGCATAGTCTCTTTGGGCCTTCTGGTAGCAAACTCAGCGCCCTCCATCGGCAAGCGCGATTGTTGGTTCCTGCCTGAAACTCACTGGCTTCATCTGCCGTTTGCCGCAGCTGACTTTGCAACCTCAGCCGAAGACCATCAAATGCGATGACTCATGTGAGACAAAAGAGTGCCCGTGAGCCGTGTAAGCTTCAAACCGCGCAAGCTCTTGATTCTTGGTTTCCAGTTCCCGGCGAAGTTGCAACATCCCCTAAGAACAACAGGTTGATTTAGGATGATTTCGGCAACTTGGTCAAGGACAAGCAGATTTGCTCAGAGGTTGAAGCAAGGTCAGCTAGGCAGGGATGTATCTCCCGAGCCTCTTGGGACTCATCACAAGCAAGGTTCGAAGCCGCCAGCTCATCTCTCAACCCTCGCGACCTCAAACTGTTCCAATGAGTCTTCACAATATTCTGAGGAAAAGACAAAAGGACTGCACTTCTTTATGATTCAGATCATGCCACGGCATAAAAACTGCTTCAAATCTCACGATTCCTCCACTTGTGGAGACTTAGCCATTCGCTCCACCTCAAGCATGGAGCAACGCCCATCTAGCCTGACGGGTCAGATATGTCGTTTCTCTTCGCAGATTCGATGAATCTCAGTGCCACGACAGGACGCCCATAAGGATAGTGGACAAAAGTCTTCCTCAATTTTTTGGGGAAACCGAAGTAAACCTTTTGTCACCAGTTCGTTTTTAGTGGGAAACCAATGCCCCAAAAATAGGTTGAAGGTTATCCACTGACGAAGTGTGGCCCACGAACGTAAGAAATGAGGCGCCTGGAGGACCGAGAAGCTTCCGCGGATGCACTCGCCTGTCATATCGACTTGGGCTGAACTTGGCATATCAATCTGGTCCTAGGAAGGATCCTTCTCAGAGTCATGGAATCCTTGCTTTAAAAATCTTTAAAAGGCCTTGACATGGTCTTCCTTCTCCAGCCCTTTAGGTTGTTCGCACCTGCAGGCCCTCAAGTTGCTCACGCAAAGTTTGGCCCTCATCCAACACCTGCCGCGATCGGCTGCCTACGATGCTCGAACTCCGCACTCCCTGAACTGCGTAGAATGCTGTCGCAGCGGTTCACTGGACCAAACGGTCCAATGTCCGATCTGTTCCCTTTGGCAGGGAGCTCCCAAAGAATCTCCCGACGTTGTTTAAAACCCGCTAAAACCTACAACCCCAGACCCCCGATGCAGACAAGAAACGGAAATCCTTCGCTACGCATTCGGACAAAAGTACTGCCAATCAGTGCAGACTTAGAAGGTAGCAATAAGATCAATAAGTGGTTAGGCCCGCACCAAGCACCTTCGCAAGCTTCTCCTCAGCATGTGTACAGCGGCTTTGCGCATCCTTGAGCTCCTAGGGGCAAGGGATCGCTGACACGGACAATACGGCCAACGACACAAGCGCCAAAAGCGCAAGGCATGACCTGGAGGATACTCTGACGCTCTCGGTTGGAAGCAACATCTTGCCCCTCCAACCTGCACCACAAGTCATTCCCGATGCCAGTGTCAGATTTGCATGAAGAAAACATTGAAAAACAGAAACCAGCATCAATCTGTGACATCTGAGAGAATTGTTGCTTCACATCCAAGGCGCCTTTCGATTTCAGCCTGTTGCTTCTTGAGAGTGCTTCGCAACTGGCTCAATCCTTCGTCCTGCCGCGTCGGAAAGCCATCTCATTTCTACATCCATCGAAAGGCCCCGCCTCTTCCAGCCGCTTAGACCCCTGCGCTCCGCAACCCATAGCACATGAGCAACCCAGGCCCGAGAACCAAAGGAATTTCGGCGTTCGCAGTCTCGCAGTAAGGGGTACTTCAGGCGCTCAGCTGAGCCCACTTAGAAGGATCGTCTTCGGTGTTGAGACTGTCAAAGCTACTGTGTCTTCTCCATGTAAAAGCTATAACTGGAACGCAAGATCTTGAGGAAAAGCAGAAGCTGCCTCTAATACTGGGCTACATAGATTCTAAATGCAAAAGTTGCCTCAGAGCAGTTGAGACATGCAACGGTAGTTCGCCAGTGCTATCGTGGCGGAAAATCAGTGCAAATCTGTCCGGACCAACGGCGACATTCACTCCAGACTTACGAGCATCCAGCCTATGTATCAAATGTCAAGTTAAAATCCGTCAAATACCTACACTCTGATCTACTCAGGCTAGTCACTAGTCTGATGAACGTTTGAAGATTCGGCCCTTTTTGCCTTCGTAAATGCGGCTCTTCTCCAGGTTCCTAGTAGAAATCATCGATCCGTCGCTGGCAGGGCCCGCCTGCCTCAGTGATCAGTCGCATTTGAAGGAAGAACAAACGCGTAGTTGTCCACTTCGGAGAGCCTTTGAAGGAAGGGCGAACATCCGCGGGTTTTGTGGGCTTTGCTTTGTAGCAAGGCTTCTTTGGGAGTGTGTCGCTTTGCGCATCAGGCGTGACGGCACAACAGCAGCAACGTCTCATTGACTGCTACGGTTACGGGTAGCGAAGGTTTCCAACGGGCGGCGAGCAGAAGGACAACATCTAACGTGTCCATCTGACGATGGGTCAAACCTGGAGCCCCAAAACCAAGGTCAACCAAGGTGTCCTGGTTTTGACCCACAGCCATAGAAAAGCATACTAGAAGCTACTACTAACAAGTGCATCGCTACTAGAACAAGGGCATCACTACTAGTAGCTAGAAGCTAATAAAATCTAAAGCAGAACCGAATCTCTGTGTGTTGGGACTTCGAGATGTCCAGGCAATCCCACACCGCATTGTGCCTCATTCCGAGTAGAGCAAGAGGCCGGCAATGAGGATCACCACCTCGGTACGGGGAGCGGATCGCCATGGCGTGCCTTCTGTGACGTTTACAGAAGTGGCTCAAGGCTGGTGACCAAGAATCAAAAGAAAGCAAGTCTTTTTGCTGTGAAAGATCTTTCAATAAGATTTAAATTAACATCAAAAAATTAAAGTGCTATATACAAAAGCTCTATAAACTGTCCAAGACTACGTCATTTGTGATGCATCCACTACCCCTACCTCCTAGCCGCCCTAGCCCGGTTTGTCAGGTCGACGGTCTCCAAGGATCAAACAATGGCCAAGAACTCCAAAAAGCCCATACCAATCAGCGTATACGTGAACAAGTCTTCCTGGATCGATTATGAGTCATATCTATAATATATGTACATGACTCAAATGACTGACTTCAGAGTACTCAGATCTCAGATTGTGCATTTTCTTTTTGATGGGGATAGCTCTCCGAAATGCTTTAGGGCAACGATAGAGCAATGTACTAAGTTACTAGAGTACCAAGTCTTTAAACATAAATTCTTTCGAGGACGAAGATGTCGCGTAGCCATTCCCAGAGATGCATTTTCACAAGGACCAACAGTCGGTGACTCGAAGGTGTTAGTCAGAAAAACATTGCGGTTTGGTTCTGGTCCGAAAAAGGGTTCACCCAAAAACATACAGGTTTGGACAACGGTCAACGAAACATAACAAACCAATGAAACGGTCTGAAAAGATGTTTGTTCATGCCAGTTGGCTTTCTAAAGCACGATCTTGTAGCATGAACTACACACGAACGCTATCAACCGCTCTAAACCTTCCGAAGCCTTGAACAAAAATCTGACAGAAGCGCCATGCCTTCATCGAAGGGTTACGAGCCATGCCAACCACCAACGCTGCGAATAGCTGGCCAATGCCCTGACGTCGGTCTTCAACACGTCTGACACATGCGTAGGTCTTGTCGTGTATGCTTCAGGCAAATGACCCAAGGAAAGACATCGTGCGGAACATTGAATCGATTTTTGTTGACAAGGAAGCTTTCATGGGTAAGACAACATGCATTACTGTAGACATGAATGGGTAGGGCCATCGGTTGCAGGTGCGGATAGGAAGACGACCATAGACAGCACACCCCTGCCGCTCCTGAGCACAGCCCCCCACGGCAACCATAGCAATGGCACAGCCCAAGACGGACACACCTGCAATCACAAGCACGATCCATGAAAAGTCACAGCTGCGTACCAATGAACATCAAAGAATTCTAGGATTCTGAATAGAAAACATAAGCAAACTGATTGAAGGCAAATTCAACTGCCACTGCGCATTTGCATTTGGCGACAAGGACGGAAGGTCCCATTTCAGCACCTGCATGGCGCTTGCTCATGGGCTCTCCTAGGCCCTGCGTAACAGGCTCGAGATGTTTTTGCATCGGCACCTTAAAGGACGGGCGTCACACCAATTGAGATCATACCTCCCACCTCATATCAGCAAATTGCCTTCCGAAGATGGTCCAACGATTGTGTTGCGGAATTGTCTGGAAGCTCAAACATGGCAACCTACAAAGCTGCCAAGCGACGATCGGGACTGGGACCGCAGATGGAAGGTTCGGCACAGCGCGCACGGCCTCAGTGTTGGCGAAAACATATGAAAACCGTCCGTCGAAGTGGTGGGACGACCAACAAGTTGTTGTGGATCAAAGCTGGATGTTTTTCAAATGAAAAGAGACCTTCCAGAAGCCCTTTATTGAGCAAAGCATGGGCAGTTGAGAGTAAGAAAGAATCACATCTCCACATAAACCTGGCAAACATCTCAGAATTCTATTGGAAACTCGCCAACAGACCTCGACAGACCCAAAGAACCGAACCTGAAGAAACAAGCTGAACAGGTCGCCCAGAAATCACCGGATTCGGATCGGCCCAGGCACTGCAGGGATGGCGCTGCGGACACGCAGTGCTTGGCGGAGGATCGACATGGTCGTCCGTAGGGCGATCGAGGGAGTCTCAAAACCGAAACGGGGGGGGGCGAATCGGAGCCTCAGAGTGCTGAAAGGAGATGGAAGACATATAGAAAGCAGGAAGACAGAAAGGCATAGAAATCATGGAAACTCTATGGAAGCCTCCAAGAATTTTGACCCGGTAGCCTGCTTCTCGTCAATTCTTCATGTCACTTCACAGCAAGCGTTCCTTAAGCGAGCCTTTTCTCAAGGGCTGACTGGCCAGCTTCACGCTGATGTCACAATCCTTTGGAGACACACTTCGCGTGCCAGAACGTGGCTGGAGCCGTGGCATTTTCTCTGGCCAGAATTGCGGTTGCGGATTCGCAGATTCCAAGGATTTCCCTCCAAGCCTTCAATGGTAATTCAGGATAGCTCCAAACCAACATCGACTTTTTCCAACCCACTGCATCCTTTGCAGGATGTGCCCAATTCCAACATTTGGTGCCGACAGCCACGCTTCATGGGGGGCCCTTGATACAGCCCAAAGTCGCCGATTTTACAGCGACCATACGAAGGGAATGGAATAACTCCAGACATGCAGGATTGCTTGATTGGTCACCATTGGTTGCAGTGGATCGGGTCCCTCCAACGGTCAAGACGAAAAAGTTCCTGAAGGCGAAACAGAACTTGGATCCACAAGCCTGGAGTCTGCCCTTCACTATCTGAAGACAGGCAAAAACAATGTCTATCTTGCATTCTTCCGAATACAGGACCCTTGTTGCTGGCGTCGAATCACCAGTCCAGTCCAGTCAAAAGCTGTCGCTTGGCGGACTACACAATGCACTAAAGATCCACCAAAGCGTGTAGATGATGAGCTCATGTGGAGCCGCATCATACCGGAGGGAAAAGGTCTTGCAAGCTGGTTCACTTACACTAATGACATGCTTGCAACAAGACTGTATAAAATAGGACTCCTACATCGAATGTCAAGCCGCTTACGTCCCATTTCTATAGATTTCTTTACCAGCAGCTCGTGTCTTCCAGACTTGGAGGGACGTGGCAAAGAACTTCCATTGCCCCCATATTCTATGCTTTTGGTGTGTGTGCTTTGTTCATCAACAAAATCCAGCAAAAAGCCCAGCAAATCTGTGTGAAATCAGATGAAATCCGAACTGCCAACCTCGGCAAACGGATACTCCATTGAGAGCACCAGTACTCAAAAGACTTGCCTCCGGCACCACACGCTGGAGAAACTTCAAAAGGCACAGGGATCTGATCTCCTTTGGCCATCTTTGCAGAGGACTTGGGTCTTCCTTTCACCAAGATATGTGGCACGCCAGGCACCAAAGAACTTGATTGAGGGAAAAACCCTAGAGGCGCATGTTTGGAACATTACACATATGTTGCGGGAAATTGAGACCAATCCACAATGTGCGCCTATGTGTGTCCTCTACGTTTGATATCTTAGAAAAGCAATCAATCTGAGGTCAAGGCCAGCTTGGGATTTGCTTTCGTCAGAACATTGTACCCACATCGAAGCAAGGGGAGTACTGTAGTTGCTGTAGTACGCCAGGTTCAAAAGAACTTCAATATCTGACAGTCACAGGGAGAGGTTGAAAAGTCGAATGTGGTGACTCAAAGGACTCGCACGGAGACCATCGAGGTGTCCAAATTTGGGCTGAACTTCCATCGTGCCACATCTTCTGCCAAGATCACGATCCAATGCCCTTTGAACAATCGCCTCAGAAATCTAAATCCACGACACCTCAAATTCTCAAATGCCGTGAATTGGTCACCAGATATGGAGAATCTCTCAAGTCAAAGAGTCGGTGGACTTCGTGTCGAGAACGGTAGCGAGTTCAGGACGTCACAGGCCACTAAACGGTGAAACTCCTCCTCTCATTCGCCTGCAAGGTTGGCTTTTGACCCCTTGAATGGTGAAGAAAAAGTGACAAGAGTCGAGGCAAAGTTCAAGTTCCTACCAGCCCTCAAAAGCCAAAAAATAGAGATGAAAAGTTGTCACCTCGCCAATTGCCAGACCATCATGAAACGTTTAACCTTTAGCAAACCTGTTGAAGAAGTGAAAGATAGACAAACATGGCCCAATGGCCCAAAGCCTATTGGTGGCAGGATCCAAACACACACCTGCCGAGCCCAAGAGCCCAAGGCAAGCACACAAGCCACACAAGCAACACCCAGCCTACTTTTTTTGGACCTCAGGATTCGCGTCCCATCACAGGCCGATTCAAATGTCTTGAGACCAAGTCAACTAGGAGAGTCTAAACCTCAAGAGACTGAGAGTTCGGAACCCGTTGCCGTTCGAAGTGAAAGCGCAAGGCCTTCAAATGTGATTTCTTTGTGTTACTTGGATAGCGCAAGAATCCACCTTCAATCCTTCACTAAACGTATTGTTTGCTGGCTGGTGCGACGAAGTGACTGTGACTACAGTACCATCATGAGATCGCACAACGATGCACAACGTCACCATTGGTTCCGTTCAGCAGGCCGGGTCGCGAACGCTGTTTCCGATGAGGTCAAACACCTGACAAGTCATGGCAGCAACGTCTCGGTCACCGCAGCATCTCCGTACCCCCTTGTAGCTACTAGGGGCTCCTGGCATCGCTACTAGGAGCAAGAAGCTACTAGTAACAAGTGCATCGCTACTAGTAGCTTCTAGCTACTAGTATATAGTAATGCCCTTGTTACTAGCAGCGATGCCCTTGTTACTAGTAGCTTCTAGCTACTAGTAGAAAGCTATAGCCATAGCAGCAGTTTTGCAGTTTTGCATGTGACAGATGGCACGCCAGTTGTTAATCTTCCATCCTCCTCAAGGAGCATAAAAGGAGCTATACAATACGCAGCGCAGTAAGGAACGTGCCTGATGAGGAGGAGGACCCACGTTCTTCACCAACCAATAAACATTGGCCACCTTGGCACTGCAAACGTGTCAATGCAAAAGATTCGACCATGTAAAAGGAATTCGACATCCAAAAGTCATGAGCTCATGAGCTCTTCGTACGCTGCACGCTATGTCATTTTTCGAGTTGACAGTTGATTTGGTTTACAGTATCTCAGCTGCTGATGATTTCGGTGCCACGCCGGTTGGTGGGAGAGACGGTCAACCATTTCTGCGGCAGTGCGGGGGAGCCGGGTTTCAGTGTCTTGGCTCAACAATGGCGAGCCTATTCTGTTTGGTGGAAGAAGATGTCAGGGCCAAAGCCACCGAAGAGAGCAAATATGTGAGACTTCGTGATAATCATGATACCGATACGTCTCAAGAGATGCTTTTTCGCACGGGACATCAGGCTTGCTAAGTCCAAAATACATATATAGTGTAAACATATGTAAACATTGTTTGTTGGGCGAATTTGGGCAACACATCCTGGATGCATTCCGATTCAAACCCAACAAACCCAACACCTGGGTCCCACGGTCTTTCTTCCGTCCTTGCGCGCCCATATTGCCACAATACTGGCTGTTGATCTCAGCATCGCATGTGTCAGAGCGAAAAGCGATCGCATGTGTCACCCATGTCAATGTGTTCCAAAAAAGAACATGTGCTGAATTGCTCTGTTGGAACAAGTGCATCGCTACTAGTAACAAGTGCCTTACTAGTAGTAACCGATCATTTCGTCCTCAAGAGTCACCACTTCGTCCGTTGGCCAAAAGGAGGCGTGGCCAAAATGAGTGCCGGAAGACTCGGCCTCTCCGTTGAAGAACCCGGACCCTGGGCCCTTGCCGTTCTTTTTCCACATGTCGTTCACTCTTCAACGGGACACGGTGGAAGGCAAAACTCCCTGAGGTGGAAGGCTACGTAAATCTTCTTCTAACCGATGTGTTGTGATTTCGATTCCTCCACGGCTTGGTGTCCCGACCACATTTTGCATGCCGCTGTCTGAGATACACGTACGGCAAAGGTCGCCGCTCAGCACGAAGCATTGATGGCCTGACAGAGATTCCGGGAACAGAAAAGACATGCCTGGCACATTCCTAGTCTTGCTTGCTTGAACTTCTGAGCTGGCAAATCGCATATCTGTTCTGGTTTCAATTTTGACCCAAAATGCCTGCATTCTCGCAGAAGTGGTCATACACGTAGTAGTCCAACTGCACCTGACAACAGGCCCTCCATTCTGTGCTTTTCTCGGAATGGAAAAGGCTGTGGGATGACAGGCCAGTCATCCAACCGATCCACCTCACCTCCTCATGACTGGAGAGTGAGTATGCCAGATGTGAGTCGTGAGTAATGTCACTGGCATATCTCAAGTCCCACATTGTCCCACAGAGTCCAAGACAAACATGACGGTGGCTCCAAAATGGTGTGGCTCAGACATGACTCTGTATCAAACACGCACGGTCACGGTGGCTCAGACATGACTCTTTGGAAAGCTTCAACTTCAAGAAGCCCTTCGTACAAAAATCAAGGCCTGCCCGAGGCTTGTTACATGTTTCCTGGGTCCCAAGGCATTCTCAAGCAAGCTTGTAGCAAGCCAGACCTCAGGACACATATTTGCTTATAATTCCATCGTTCGCCCTCTCGTGTTCTCTCGTGGTCAGGCTCCTTTATTACATCCATGGTCAAGGAACTCCAGCACTGTTCCGCAGTCGAAAAATAGAGAACAAAGGAGTTTGGCATCTGGGTCTTAAAATTATCTGCTGACTGAGTGAGTGCAGTCTGCATCAGTCCTTAAGATTCCGGCAGTCAGGAAGTACTGCTGGGCATCCTTGGGCCAAGAGATTCAAAAAGCTACTTCATGGGCATTGCTCGGAAAGAACCCCAACAACACTGCTTCCTCTCTCTCTCTCTCACTTGATTTCCGCCGAGGGTGGCAGGATGATCCTCTCCCTTGATTCTTGTCCATCCTTTTCATTCCTTGTCTTGTTCTCGGCGTGCTGGTGCTCCTAAAACCCGTCGTATCTTCTTTAAAGGTTTCATGGTGGTCCCATGCGGTCCCGGTTTTACAAGAGATAGAGCTTGCACAGGATGAACCAATCGTGCAGAAAAGACTGATGAGACTTTTCCTCTGATTGCAAGGAGCTTCCACACTGAAGACATGAAGCCTTATGGTTTTTGGTGCACTTGATGCTCCGCATGATAAATGTTGGTGATGTACTAGCCCCGCAACTCATAACCCGCACTCCAATACATGGCAAAGCATCAAAGGGCTAGACAATGTGTTGAAAACAAACAAAAACAGCGTCAGCCGCAGAAGAAAATCAACCTTTTTTGCACGCATCACCAAGGGTCGATCTAAGATAGGCTCTTTCAAGCTGTGCGAACCCCACGAAAGAAGAGGATTCATTCATCACACCAACTTCAAAGAAGAAAAACCCAACCGAGACCGCCAGAGACACCGCAAAAGACCCACCACCCGAAGACATCGCAAGCCGAAGACGTCACCAACGGCGGCGACCGGACACACCCCAAGACAGCCGGAGGACCCAAGCAACCCAGCACAAATGGAGCCGGGTCGACCAGCGGAGAAACCCGCTCAAACCAAAGCACCCGTTCAAAAGAGTAAGAACCCCTCAGGTAAACCTGTTTGAGGTCGAAAGATATTGCATTTGGACAGGAGGCAAGCATTGACACCAGCTACTCCCATTCATCCCAAAACCGTTGATCACTTTGGCCAACCGTTCCAACCGTTCACCGTCACATCCTGTCACCGTCCATCAAAGCGCTGAGTTCCAAACCCCTTGCCACAATCCAGCGCCCCAAGGGCCTTGCCACAGATCCGTCAAACAGGCACAGATCCGGATCCCGCAGATCAGGGCACGAGCAGTAACAAGGGCATCGCTTAGTAGGAGCAAGGACGCTACTAGGGGCGCTCCTGGCCATACTACTAGTAACAAGAACCTACTAGTAACAAGTGCATCGCCACTAGTAACAAGTGCCTTACTAGTAGTAACAAGGACGCTAGTAGTAA